CTTCTTTCTGCCTCCTTTCATTTCAATTTGGATTTGTATTTTTTGGTTGTGTATAAAAAATGTTTTTTGTTTTTAAATGAAACAAATAAATGAATAAAAATAAAACTAAACTAAAATGTTTATTATATAATATCTAATGTTAAAGTGATCATGAACACCAGACTTTTCCTTCATAATGAATTTCTACACAGTACATGTACAGTAGTACAGTCCTCATCCAAATATTCTCCTGTTTTTTACACAACACATGCAGATTTTGACATCAGTATGACACACAGACATTATGTAATATATACACTTTTCAGGGGTAAATATTGTGCAGTAAATACGCCCCTTGTAATACAGATAAAGAGCATCAGACCTCACTGTGACCTCAGAGGAGAATTACCCACCAAGAATTCATCTTTAGGGTCAAAAGAGACACTGAGGACCGGAGCCTCGTGACCCCGCAGTGTTTTCTGCTGGCTGCTGTCCGACACCTCCACCACCTTCACCATGAAGTCACTGAGAGAAGCACAGYGAGGTGGATAAATCAGAGGAAAAAGACGTTTCATTGATCAGTGAACAGAAAATAAAACAATCCTGATTTTCTGATTCGCTCAGAGCTGGAATGTTCGGAATCAATGCATGGAGAGATGGAGAGAAAATAGCATCGATCCAGAAACCATGCTGTGTTTCTGTTGCTGTGATCAACCTGCTTAAAGCAAATCAATCATATATAACTCCAACTAAACAATCATAAAGCACAACACACCATAAGAAAGATACTGGAGGAAAAAAAATGATAGTAAGTCAAATAAATAAATAAAGGTCGCACTCTAATATTTCATTGGACCACCTTTAGCTTTGATTACAGCACATTCACTGTGGCATTGTTTAAATAAGCTTCTACAACGTCACAAGATTTATTTCCATCCAGTGTTGCTTTAATTTTTCACCAACTTTCATTGATGATGGTAGAGTCTGACCTTCTCCAGCACATCCAAAGATTCTCAGTGGACTCTGTGGAGCCAATCCATGTGTGAAAATTAGGTGCGACCCGATACAACTTTTTCACTTCCAATACAACACTGTCTGATACCGATATCGACCAGAGACAATATCAGAACAAATCCTACATACGTTTATTATTTATTTGTAGTGTGGAATCTTATAAAGTCTTGATCAGGTCAAACAGTAAAAAATTGTCAGCAACAGTAAGTATGAGAAAGACTGGTTGGTCCCTCCCTCCCTTCCTTCCTTCCTTCCTTCCTTCCTTCCTTCCATCCATCCATCCATCCATTTATTTAACCAAGCAAATCCCATTGACATCACAAACCTCTTTTTCAAGGGTAGCCTGGGCCTGAAGGCAACCTATTGTACATGTCTTTGTGGGTGTGGGGGGGGGGAAACAGGAGTACCCAGAGAAAACCCACACCAATATTAACCAACGGGTTACATACARTAATTTTTAACTTAAACATAAAAATATTGTACAATTAAATACAATAAATAAATAATAAAACATAAATGCTGAAAACTGAGCWTGGACCTCAGTGTATCCAATAAAAACAAAGCACACTAACTATTCATGGTCTACACCCAAGCACTGCTGGATAGAAATCCTGAGTGGACTACTGGATGGACTGCTTATATTGGTGATTTTAGATGATGGCCGATATAATCCCATATTCATTTTTTGGTTAATATCAGACTGGTATTGATATCAGAYTGACAAAAATTCAGGTTCAGAGAAAAATCAGTCAGGGAAATATAATAAATTCTAATAATAACAAAATTTATGGCAAGACTCTTGGAAAAAAAACAGAGGAAACTCAGGTTTTTAAGAAAATGACTGCTTATCGATCAATCATTAGTGGATCGATAAGATCAATCAACTTTAGATTAATTCATTAATTGACAACTTGAATCCTTAGTGGGGATGAATCATAATAATTGCTCCCTCTGTCCTCACACTGTAGAMTACATCACACATAGCAGAGCAGCAGTTGTTTTCACACTGTAATATCAGACGTTTGAAGAGAAGCTCATGTTGGAGGAGAAACAAGGTTTCCATCTGGCCTACCTGGATCCGGCGGCGACTCTTGAGCCGCTGCTGTTGAAGGTGACGTGCGTGGCGTTGGTGGTGAAGCGCGTCAGGATGCCGTCCGGGTCGCCATCAGGAAACGTGTGGATCTGCACCGTGTTGTTGGAGCTCGCCGTCACCAACTTGCCTTTCTGTGGACGAGCAAACGCACCTGAATRCACAAGCTTCACTATCGTACACACAAGACTAAAAACCAATGCTCTTAATCTGGAAAAAAAAAAAAAAAAGATGGTGGATGTCCACCTTAAGCGCCACAGAGTACGCCTTCTCCCCAACGGTGATGAACTTTGGATCGTCGTCTTCCAGACTTTCCCAAATTCGAACGTCTCCATCGTTGCCACACGTCACGATGAACCTGGAAACATTTTTAGAAACAATTTAGAAACAAAACATCAGGTAGTGCAGCTGTTTCAGCCGGGACATTAACAGTATTACAGTACAGTACAAATACTTTGTTACTGTACTTAAGTAGAAATTTTGATTATCTATACTTCAGCAATAATTTTTCAGACAACTTTTTACTTTTACTCCTTATAAATAGAAATTTGTTCCTCGTATTTCATTATGACTTGTTTTGAGTCTGGCTTGTTGTTATAAATAAATGGTGCCTCCTGGATAGAGCGAATTCTTGTTGAGTTTTATCAGTTCAGCATGAGACCACCAGATATTTTTCTTGATATAAATAGCTTACTTGTACATTATCTAACCTCTACACAGGATTTACACATTAAAACATATTGTTTTACAACATTAAGCATTTACTTTTGTTATTTTCATGTTTTCATGAATTTGCGTTTTGTACAAAAATGTAAATTTATTTCTCTTGGGATTTTAGACCAGCCATATTTTTCCCATTATTGTTAAATTAATAATGTAAAAGTAAAAGCACACTTGAAATGCCAACTGTTAAATTAGCTGTGTTTATGTTTGTAATGATCGAGTTACTGATTTTGTACATCATGTATAAAAACATTGTGTTACACCACCAACTAAAGTATTGCCAGCAGTGTGAGGCAGGAAGTGGACTGCCCATATTTGGTCAAGCTTCTGAACTAATTCACCACTGTCATTTGCACATTTTTATTTAAATAAAACAGTTGTAGCATTAAAAAATAATAATTTTGGTTGGATGAGAAGTATAAATGTATAAAATTGTGACAACTTATGTATGATCCATCACACCTGTTTGACACAAATCACGTCACACTCCAGCCAAACATGTCAGACGTATGTAGACTGTATGAAGATGACTGTGGCAGACATATAGCATTATAACTCTACAGTCATGGCTTTTAGAAAAATGTTTACCCAATAGTGTTACTTTAACACTAAAGTACATAATGTCAGAAATTATACAAAACTGTTTTTATGCATTTAGAAAATGTATTTGATTACTTATTAGTTATATTTTATATAGTCACACAAACAGAGACTCTCTTATTAAGTTAAAAYATGCTGAAGCAGTGTGATAAACTGGATGAACCCCAAAAGGAGGCACTGTTTTCACCCACTACATGAGGATGAAGAGGCTTTTGCCAGTACTGTRTATGTGTTTATGTCTGTTAGCAAAACATCACATAAACCACTGAACGGATTTGAATGAAATGTGCAGACAGAAATCACTGGATGAACATCTACAAAAGATTAAAATTCTGGATGCAGTCAGATTCAAGATGGCTGCCAAAGACAAAAGACCTTAACAATCACAAAAATGCCTATACCTCAATCAGACTTACAGATACTGAGCTAATATTTGGAGTGGTAGCAGCCCAGACTGATTTACAACTCATGCTTTAAGTGTTAATGGATTGTGCAAGGGCTTTGTTTCAAATTTAGCAGTGAAGGTAGGTGTCAACTCTGTCTGATGGCAAAACATCCCATGAACCACTGGATGGATTTTAAAGAAACATTCAAAAAGTTAAACAACTACAACTGTTCAACTTTTGGTGTCAATCCAATTCAAGATGGTCACAGCTAATCAACATTAAGTATCACAAATTGGCTGTAATTTTCTATATATATCTATATTATATGAGTTTAGACTATGGGAGTCATTTCTAACATACTCYGAGTGTGAAAGCTCACACAAGATCTTTATCTAAAGCAGACCATATTTTATATAATGTAGGATTATCTTCTTCCCTGATAAAAGAAAAAAAAAGACAGATATGTGTGCAGACCTGACTATATTAGCTCTGTTTTTATTGTAAATAATACCACAATAAATGAAGAAAAAAAGTGTAGGTGCTCCCGGATCCTGTTGTTTTTGCAGTGATATGATGATATATATGATGTGATCTCTAAAGGTCGGTGATGGATGAGAAGAAGCCTGAATATCTAACTTACTTCCCAGTTTCGTCGAAGCAGACCTCGGTGTGTCCCTCCGAGTGGCCGTAGCGCATCGGCTTCCTCTCACAAGGCATTTTTTTTCCAAACACACTGAACACGTAGACAAAAATATCAATCAGCAGGTAACTCTGGACTAGCAACAGAACATTCCGCAGCTCTTAAGCCACAATACACCTGTTATGGTGATGTTAAAACCCGCTAGCAGTGACGCAAAGCTAAAGCTAACAGTTCAGCTAAATAAATCACGCTAAAAAAAACTTTAAACAACACGAGCAGACACACAGGCTCCGCTTTCGGTGTTAAACTCCCTCACACTATTTACARACTTGTAAATAAGATACAGTTTAAAGCACAAGTTACTGAAGCAACTTACAAGCTCCTCGGCTGACTCTACTGAATCTCCCGCGCTGAGTTAAAAACAAGGAAGACGTACGTCCCTACTCCCGCCAGCTACGCCATTACGCAATCGCGTAAACTCCTCCCACAGAGGGAGAGGAAAGAGATAAGTACCATTGATGTTAGATACATCAATATTTTTAATGCAACGTAAATGAGCAGTGAAATAAATCAGTATAATAATGAAAAAGGCCAACAAAACTACAATTAATTATTCGACCTACCATTTTTTTAGAATAAAACATTTTTTCTGTTTTAGTAAATCACCTTTAACATTTTTTTTTACATGTAAATGTTAGCCTGGCCCTTGCCTTCCTACRCAGYTCCGCTCAATTCTAGTTTTGTTCCTCACATCTTTTTTAAATTCATTTATTTGCACATTACTTTTATGTATTGAAGCTGTGTGTTACTGCAGAATAAACTCATTCTAATGAGTTGACGCAACATAACAAAAAATGCATCTGATGCATGAACAAACCTTATTTCTCATGTTTTGACATGAAATGCATCGTGAATCTATTTTTTGACCTGCTATAATAGATGCTTATTRCCAGATCATACAAGACGACATTAATATTGCATGCATATGGTTTGAGGAAATCAATAAAGAGGCTCCTTTGTGTCTGTGAAGACGAAGAGGATTCARGCATAAAGATAAAGCTCTGTTGATGCAGTTTTACAAGATTTTGACTATCCAGACATTACACCCTCAAAGTACTTAATTTAATGATAAATCATAGTTAAACTTAGGTTTCCTGAATTATTCTTCATTTCTGGAGCACAAACTGAGCACATTTCTTCACTCTGCTGTTGTCTTTAGTCTCTCTTCTCTACATGTTTATTGTGATTATTTCTATCATGTTTTTTCTTTGTCTCTTTTTCAGAAGAAGGTGACCGGATTAATCTATTTAATCAGAACTGAAATCATCCACAGAGCTATCTGCAACGGGTAAGATATTAATTGTTCATAAACCTCTATTTGAACAGACTAAACTAAACTATCACTTACCTGCTTCAGATACTGCCTTCAAACCTAATAGATAAATAAACATCGATGAATATTTCATTCATATTTCAGTCACTTTCCACTGAATGACTCACAGTTCAGCTGCAAAATCTTCTTTCAACCAAAACAGTTTTTTTTTCATGCATTTATCTTTCCATTTGGAGTTGTCCTTGAGTTGAGTCATCATTAGCTTGTCTGTGACACAGGTGCAGAAAAAACAAAATCTGTGAAGCAATCAGAGAACAGAGGTGGTGCAAATGGTGTTTATTGGTTGGTGTTTTCAGTCAGGTGGATATTATTTGTGCCTCGTTTTAATTAGTTCCACTGTGTACAAGTCTTTTCCAGCTGGTTGTAAATAGATTTAAAAAAAAAGCATTTGAGAAAATTTGAGGTACAAATATCCTAATGTCAATTTTATTTGAACATGAGTTTCTGGAGCCTCTGAGGAGGAGGCAGAAGGGTCTCTGCCATCCAGCTGTTGGGGCTGGGCTGCCATCTTGTGGCTGCAAAGGAAAAAAAATGAAGCTCAGGCTTCTTTTCAAATGTTTTAAAAGCATTAGGGACACAATAATTGTCACTGTCTGTCTGCATTTCCTTTGCTCAAATGTAGAGTTCTGTTGGTGTTTTGACTGATTTTGTTAAAACAGGAAGTAAAATAATTATTTCTTTGTTTGCATTAATGGCAACTGTGATTTCAGTGAGATTTTTTTCAACAAAAAACGACTCAGTTTTTAAACTGTAGGTTTGAAGATGTAACTGCTCAGCAGAGAAACTGCAAAAATGATAATGTGAATGCTTATTGCTGAAAACTTCAGCCGAAACTGCTGAAACGGAGCTGAATTTGTTCATTAACAAACGTGAGTTTACTTTGAGAAGATGAAAGAAACATAAGTTAATACACCACCAGGCTGTTTAACAACAAACAGTCAAAGTTGCAAAAAGAAGCTAAAATTGGCATAATGCAACTGAAAGATGCATTACTGCTAATAAAGCTAGTAGGAAAAAGCAGAAAGAAGTACAAAAAAGTCAAAATTATCAGAAAAATAGCAGAAAGGAGCTGAAATATAGCTTAAATTGTAGAAAAAAGTTCAAATTTGCAGAAAAAATATCCAAAGATAGCAGAAAGAAGTTGAATGTAGTACACAGATGGTGATAGTAGTGTAACAAATATCAAATTAGCCAAAACAACCGAAAAAGTGACAAATTATTGTAAAACTGAAAAACAGCCAAAATTTGCCAAAAGCAGCTAAAATGTAACCAAGGAGCTGAAATTAGCTCAAAAAAGCAGAAAGATCAAATTTCCAAAAAGAAGCTAAAATGTTCACCAAAATGAGAAGGAGGTTGAAACAAAGCAGAACCAGAACAAAATGGGTTAAGTTTTGTAAAGATTTCTAACCTTTTAAAGGGTTTTAAGATGTTGAAAACGGCTCCATTTATCTTCAATGGGAAATACTTCTACGTTTTCAAAAGTGAAATAGGAAAAAATGAATAAATAGCTGAAATACATAAAGTCATAGCAGGAATATCCTAGAGTAGATGAACATTTTGATGTACGAATTGTTGAAATAACACAGAAATTGAGGCACAAGCTGAAAAATGTGTTTGTTGCATTCACACTATTAGAAAACTTGAACATATTTATTTCCTGCCACTGTTTTATGTGTGTGTCTGTAAGTAAAATATCATGACCCACTGGATGGAATTTAAAGGAACTCTCAGACGTTAATCATTAGATGTACATCTACAGTGTTAGCAGTGAACCCATTTCAAGATGGCCACCCCAGCTAAGTGACCTTAGAAAACAGAAAAGTAGCTACAACTCAGTCAGATGTGCAGATATTGAGCTCCAGTTTGATTTGGTGCCAGTTGAGAGTCACACATTACACACAGTTTGAGTGCTAACAGATCACTCAAGATCTTGTTAAAGTAAGATTTTGTAAACGTTTTTRAGGTTTGACCAAAACAGCTACCACTCTGTAATTTCTAAACCTAATTTGACCTGAGTCAAGTTCATTCAAAGGTGAAATGCATTTTTAAAGGCTTTAATAAAGGGTAGACAAGAGAGACAGTCAGAAAAACCTGTCGTGGATCTTATTATCTCTGCTGTGTAGTCATCAAGATGCATCAATGCAMCAATGTATCATCATTTCTCTAAGAAAAGTTTGTTTTTTTACAGCTGACAGTTCACATGGCGCAGGCCCCTTCACACTTGATGTGGTACTGTCTGAGGTACTCCCTGAGCTGAAGGGGCAGCGGCAGGCGGTCCACGCCCTGGTACGTGGTGCAGCTGCAGATCAGAGCCCTGCACAGGTGCTGGAGGGTGAAGGGGAAGGTCCTGGGCAGCGGCCTGGAAAGCAGGGGCTCGAAGAAGAGGCAGGTGGCRGGGTCACTGTAGTGCCTCAGCAGACCCGTCACGCTCGGGTCACGGTACATGCACGGGTCACGCACGTCGAAGCTGAAGCGCTTGCCGTTCTGCTCGATGCGCGCGTGCAGCGAGCGGCTGTAGCGCCTGAAGCTGACYGAGAAGAGGAACTCGTCCTGCGCAGAGTCTCGGAGCAGAAACGTGCCCTCGGGCTGACCCTCCAGCAGCTCCTCGGCCTCAAAGCGGTTCAGCACGCCCCAGTAACACGGACTGTTGTTGATCTGGAGGAGATCAGGGACCAGGATGTAGTCCGTGTAATCACAGCTGCCCTCTGCACCCCCACGATGACACGAAGGGTCCCAGTCCTCCAGGTTGGTGCTCGCAGGTCCTGGTGAGCAGCAGATGTCCTCCCAGGAAATGGGTGTCTGAGGTGGAGAGGTAGAAGAGGAGAGGCTGGGCTTCAAAGGAGCCTCCATATCTTTCAGGGCGCTGGGGGTAGAGACCTGATTCTTTATAAGATGCCAGCATTTGGCCAGTTCCGACTTGGGTGAGAAAGGACATTTGTCCTGCATGAGCTCTGAGACATGGATCTTACGTTTGGACCAGAAGAGCACAGAGAACGGTTTTGAGGAGCCGGCAGCGTGGTGGTAGTGATGATGGTGAGAGCGCAGAGGAAAACACTGACCCACGGCATCCTGGAACTTCTGCCGCAGGGAGCGCCGGGACAGGGCCTTCCTGCAGACCCCATCGAAGTCTGCAGCCGTCAGGGCTTCCCCAAGGGCACTGCAGCTGCACTTCCTCTCTCTGCGCCGCCTCGAACACGACGTCGAACGTACGCCGAGCTCCTCCGAACCATCTGCTTCCAGGCCGCCGCCTCCTGACCCGTTGCAGGAGCTCCGGGAGCGCTTCTTCCCTCGCCAAATGTAGCTGTCTGCGCTCCAGCTGCGGAGGCCGGATTTGGGACGAGTGTCTGCTCCTCTTGGTTTCTTCTCTGACATGTCTGCTTTCTCTTCTTCCTCTGCAAAACATTTCCAAATCAGTCAGGTCAGGCTTTATTTGGCACAATCAACCACATCTGAAAGTGCACAAAACTGCACCTGCAAACAAAGACATGTATAACATAGATATGTATGATAATACTAGACCAAATGTCTCTGCCTTCTCCTGTTGTTGGGAGTTAAGGTCATCATGACTCAATTTACAGGAGCTGCCATGTTGTATTTTTGGAACCAGAGTCTGTGCTCTACACCCCCACACACAAACGGTACTCCATGAGCATTCATTTAAGCATGAAATAACTAAATGTTTTCAAAAAACGAAAGTTTGAAGATACAAGAAAAGTCAACATGGGAAAAATTGGTGCATTGTTTTATTTTTAAAAGGGCATGTTTGTGTAGACCCTCAGTCATCTCGGACATGGTCAGTCTAAAACAAAACAAGCAAACCAACCAACCAACCAACCAACCAACCAACCAACCAACCAACCAACCAACCAACCAACCAACCAACAAACAAACAAATAAACAAACAAACAAACAAACAAACAAACAAGCAAACAAACAAACAAACAAACAGTACTTCTGTTCTGAATTTGAAGACAAATTAAAAATGACAAATTCAGTTATGAAACCTAGATTCACATACAGATCAAACTACACACCTCTCACAGCAGCGAGTCATCAAGAACTTTGTTTGCCTTTGGTCACATGTGGTTTAGGGAAACTGAGTGGGCATCAGGCTCAGTGCTGCACTGTAAGTTTTAGAGAGCTGAAATCTGACGCCCTCTCTTTTTTGTTTGACAGTATCATATTCTYCTCTCTCAAACCATTTGTCTTCTTCTATCAACATTTTTGGTATTATGTATTACTTTTCTATTCTAGACATAAAGAACTGAGCAGAGCAACTTTATGTATCTGAGTCTTTGCATCAAATATGATTCAGTTAGAAGAAGAATGACATCGTTTGTGCAGTGTGTAAAGGGAGTGATAGGGTCAGTAACATCGGAACAGAAAGAAATAAACAACTGTAAACCATCTGCATTATTGTGATGATTTACATTGTGTTTCTGAATGACATAGTTTATAAAAGAGTTTATTTAATTTGATATACAAGTGGAAGCTTATTAGGAATGAATAAAACTGGACCAAGCATGAAGCCTTGTGGTACCGCACAAACAAAACCCTGTTTGGCATGAAGAACGGTTTGTCTTTAATACAGTTTATGATCAAAGTCAGTAAAGAACTGACTTACAAAATGACTGACTTACTGACTTGATTATAAATTAATCAAGTTTAGTTGAGAGCCAAGAACCTTTTCCCTGCAAACAACAACAAAAACGGGCTGATCTTTCACCTCAGGATAAAACTTTTTGTGCGCAGTGATTTAAAACAATAACAGCCACTTATTTTTGTGCCCATGCATGAATTATATCATTTAAATTTTCTTAAATAAAACATTTTATGATGACTGTGTGCATTCTTTTGTCACAATGGCCCAGAGAAACCTTCTTGGAGTCAGAACGTCTTTGATAATGTTCACTTATGAAGATAATGTTTTTATAACTGGATAACCAGAGAAATTTAAATATTATGATGCTGAAAGAATCCGATCTATGTGATGCAACAATAGTGACTGTGAAATAAATACTGTYTAGTTGTCAATTCTTGAGTCGTTTGTTTAATTATAAATTATCATTGTCATTTGTTCTGTTTGCTCTTTATCTTTCTCCTGACATACAGCACATCTGAGACATCTGGATTCTTATTCCAGGTCTTACACAGTCATACACAGACACATACACAGAGTCAGCAAAATGCCGACTCTGTGTATGTGTCTGTTAACAAAATTTCTCACAACCTTCTAACCTGCAGATCTAACCCTAACTCTAACCAAAAATTAAATGAAGCACTGCTCACATTTTGGAGTAAATTCACAAGTTTAGTCTCTATGTAAAACTATCAATCTGATTTTTTTTACTTCAGCAGTCATCAGGTTTGTAACTTAACTAATGTTTAGTTATGGAAGTTGAAATACGCTATAAACAWTTTTTTCCCATTTCCAAAGCTGCATATTGAATAAAAGGTAGCTTGTTTGGCTACACATCTGTGGTGTCAGTAGCTGTACCACGGCACATTCAGGTGGGACATGAGGGGCTTCCCTTACATTTTGTGCTCTGGAGAGTCTATAGGTGAACCCAAYTGGCCAAAAGAGGTGTCAATCAAAAGAAGACAACCAATGGAATCGTTTGAACAGCCTATTATGCAAATTCAAAGTCGCTATTGGCATGGGTCAGGCTATAAAGTGGCAGGAAATAACCACAAGCTGGGAATAAACCACAGGCGGTACATTGAGGGTAAGCCACTGGACAAATTTTAATAAAACCTCAAACAGTAAACACCAGAGATACGTCCAAAACCTAATTAAAGATGGCTGCCGCAACCAATAAAATACAAAACTGTCTGTAATTCAGTCAGTTTTTACAGATATTGAGCTACCTTTTTTGTAATAGAAGCTGATATTCATCTTTAAAGTAGACGTATTCTGCTTTTAAATCCTTCCTTTTCATATTTAAATCTTTCAGTTGGACTCTTTATTAAATGGAACTACAATGCTTTGGTCTAAATCAGTGGTTCCCAAACTTTTTATCTTCTGACCCACAAAATATTCATAGCAAAAACTTGTGACCCCAAATATTACTGGTCTGAGTACACAAACTTTGTTAATAACCCTAAAAACACAGGCTTTTTGACAATCTAAACAGCTTGTACACAAATATAAATACTTATTTATACTTATTTGTGTTTTTGTAATAGAAAATATGACATCAGCAATTA